GCTCCGCGCGCCGTGGAGGAGGTCCAGCGCCGATCGGAGAACCGTCGGCCACGAGTGCAGTCGGACCACAGAACGATCTTCTCGTGGACGGCCTCGTCCTCCTCGTCCTCGTCCTCCTCCTCCTCCTTCTCCTCCTCCTCCTCCCCCTCCTCGTCCTTCTCCTTCTCCTCCTCCTCGTCCTCGTCATCATCATCATCCCCACCATCACCACCACCACCATCATCATCAGCATCATCACCATCATCACCATCATCACCATCATCATCACCATCATCACCATCATCATCTGCATCATCATCATCACCATCCTCATCATCACCACCATCATCATCATCGGCGGTCGAGGGTGGGTTGTGGGCCCAGTCGTGGGCGGGACTACGACAAGAAACAACGAACAAGAAAACCCCATCAACAACCTGCAAGACCATTAGCTGACAAATAACTACCGCCAACGCGGCAGTGCGGGGCGCCGCGGCTCTTATTCGGACACCGGGGCGGGCCGACAAAGAAACGCGGGCCAGGCAAGGGGCAACAACGGGCAGCGAGGAGCCGAAGAGGGAGGAGGGGAGGAGGGGGAGAGAGGACGACCAGGAAGGACAGACCGGGCCGACAGACGGACGGACGGGGGGACGGGGAGGGGAAGCCGAGCAGGCAGGGAGAGGGAGAGCACACCACGCCACCACGCACAAGGGCAAGGAAGGACAAGGGAAAGGCGGGGACACGGAGAGGGAGTGGGGGAAGGAAGAGAGGGGGGCAAAGTCCATGCGGAAGTCCACTTCAGCCACGCACCCAGGGACTGAATGACCGTTCGGCCCCCTCATTCTGATAGACAGCCAGAGGGCGAGTTATCGTTCAATTCCGATAGATCCTGGGTCATCCGCCTCAATATGGCCGATTCCCCAGCTCAATCTCACCTCATCCAACTTGCTGCCGGACTTCGATGGCCCATGAGTCGGGCTGCAAGTCCTTTTCCCTAGTTCTGACGAAGGCCTCCCAGAAGTTGCCGCCGAGAGTGCCCCCCCCTGAATCTCAGAGGGCGAATTCTCTACCCCGCTCTCTCTTCTAGGCGAAACCAAATCATGCTACGTGCCTCCTCGTCAGGCAGCCTGACCTTTGCGGGCAACCGCAGGGGTAGCTTGGTATCGCTTGATCCCCGTGTGGAACGAGGGTGGTCAAAAGCGAGGAAGGCCCGCCTGCTTCTTAGTATCACCGAGCGCGCTCCACTGCCCAGATCGTAGACCCCCCGCGGCGGACCTGGGGCATTTGCGAGCATTTTTGCTTTGCGAGAAGTGGAACGCGCTTGTCTGAAAGAACGGAAACCGAAGGAGAAAGCACGGCATAACCATACACCTTCGGAGTTCTGCGCGGATATCTTGGAATTGCGTGGGGCCCCGCTGGCGGCACCTCCAGCGCCGCTCCAAGACATCCGCGTCGACTTCCGAAAGATGATGCTTGTGCTGTGCTCCTGGTTGGGAGACGTGGACAAACGGCGCGTGGGCTAGCGACGGGTTCCGCCTGCCCCCGCTTCCGTGCGCACCCCGGCGCGCCGCGTCGCCATCTCAGGCGGCCTTGGCCTCAGTACCGTCCAACCGACCCCCATCCGCATCCCCATCCCCTTCGAGACCCCACCAAATTGCCCCCCCCCCGCGTTGGGGGTACACGCCTCGAAACCTGCAGGGAACGACGTATATCCCCATTCAAGGGGTAAATCAGCCAGTGGGGCCCAGGCCGCGCCGCTGGGGATGGGGATCGGTAAAACGACGCTCATGTCGGGGCTGAAGAGACGGGGGTCACTGCAAACGGGGGTCAGTCAGAGCGCTGGATCTTGCAGGCTCCTGCAGAGCCAGGGCTGCACTGACCCGGGTGTGGGTGCAGGATCCTGTAGGATGCTGCAGGTTTTTGTCGGACCCTGCAAGGCCCGACAGACCCTGGTTTGCATTGACCCGGGTCAGCAGATCCCCGATGTTGTTTTTCGTATCGAGGGGCATTTGCCTGGTTTCGGGGCCGATCGAGAGCGATTCGGGGCGGAAAGCCAGTTTTTGGGGAAGGGTCCAGGCCTCTGGGAGCCTACGTTGAAGAGGCTTTGAGATCTTGGCGTCCTCCTTGTGTTCAAGCCGAACGTGTTCGCCTGGCTTCGGGCCCCGGGACCCTCACAGATCGACGCGGCTCGAACCATGGTGCAGATACACCACGAAATCCGCTCGGAGGTCGTCGTCGCCGCCGCCGCCGCTGCCGCCGCCGTCGTCGTCGTCCGCCGTCGCCGTCGCCGTCGCCGTCGCCGTCGGCGTTTTGAGTCGGCGTCGGCACCGCCGCTGCCGCCGCCGCTTCCGTCGCCGTCGCGTCCGTCGCCGTCGTCGTCGTCGTCGTCGTCGTCGTCGACGCTGCCGTCGTCGCCGCCGTCGTCATCGTCGCCGCCGTCGTCGTCCTCGACGCATCGAGCCAGCCTCGGTCGAGCGAGGCCGTGCAGCGCAGGGCCGAGGCCCTCGGCCCCGCGCACCTCGACACGCTGTCCCTGCAGGGGGACCTCGGCGCCCTGCTCAGCGGGCAGGTCGGGGGCAACGACAGGGGGGACGGGTTCCAGGGCTGGACCTCAACGGTGTTTTTGGCGATTTCGTGGGTCGTTTTCGTTTCGATTTCGTTTTGCGGTAGAGGCGGATTCGAGACAAACGCGAGGGAGGACGAAAACAAAACGAAAACGAAAATCACCGTTTAGGTTCAGCCCTGGGATGGGTTCAGGTTGGAGCCGTGTGGGGGTCTGAGATGGCCCAGCACTGGTGCCGGCCAGCAGGAAGGACGTGCAGGTTCGAGGTCCTGGGTTCGGGAAGGCTTGTTTTGCTTTTTTCGGCCTCCGGGGGCCGTTTTCGGGACCGGAGGTGAACAATCGCGCCCGATGGACCATGGGAGGGGTCAGGGGTCAGATTTTTACGTTGCATCTTCGGGGGGACCTCGCCTGTCCCCAAAATTGGTGTCTTTTCTTGTGCCCGACGCGGGCTCGATGCGGACTTGGCGCGGAGTTGGCGTGGATTCAACGCGGATTCGACACGGACCCGGCGAGTCCGACATGGATTCGGCACAGATTCGACGCGGATAGGGCTGCGACGGGACAGACAAGATCCCCCGAAGATGCATCGGAACGGTTTTGTGCGGATTTGGCCTCATCTCGGCGTCACCCCAACATGTTTATACTATGTGTGTTTCGCCCCCCCCCCCCAGGGGCGATGCGCGCTTTGAGCAGTCTTATAGTATATGCGTCGTGACGGGCGTTTTCTGGCCACACCGCTCGGGAAAAGATGTACTACAATATACTAGCAACATGGGTATACTATATGTTTGGGTCGGACGTACGCCTCCAAGGAGGACATATAGTATTTGTACGGCAGGTTCGCGTCGTGTCGACCGGCGGCGACCCCGCCAGCGGCGTTCAACGTTGAACGCCGCGGGCGGCCCAGAATCGTTCGATGTGGAACGACTTGGACGTTTCGGATACGCCCGATCGTTCAAGGTTGAACGATCCCCGCGGTGTCAGGAACCAACGCCAGGGTCGACACGACACGAACCTGCCGTATGTCTCTGTGCGTCCCATCGTCCCCCCATGTCTGGAAGGAATTTCTGGGCCCGCGGCCAGTCCGGACCGCGCGGCCGCCTCCAGGGGGCAGATGGGCTTAAGTCGGGCGCGTCCTCTACAGGGGGAGTTTCGACGAAAAGCAAACGATACTCCCAAAATGCCCCCCAAAGGCAAACAACTACCCGACAAACAGTCCCCATATTATTTTTGGATTATTTTTCTAGTATTGTTGGGGCATTTTTTAAATTTGACGTCGAACATCCCCCTGTAGGGGGACGGGCCCGACTCCAATCTGGGCGCAGGGGGGGGTGGCCTGGCGAGGGCCCTCGGAGACCGGAGCTTGCCCGACGCCTGCCATTCGCGGCTTCTTTTCCACGGCGCGAGCACACCTGCCCGGGAGGGGTCTCCTGCAGATCTCACCAGCCTCGAAAACTATCCTTATCCCTAAGATTGGCACGCCAAAATGCGATGACAATCTTAGGGATGCGCCCTAAGAAACTAAGGGAAGCCCTAAGCTTGGCACTGTGATGAGGCGATGCCCAGCTTAGGGATAGGGATATGTTCCAGGCTGGTAAAGATCTGGACCCCACGAGCTAAAGAGTGAATCGGAGGTGGATAGACCTCCCACCCTGACACGTCGATCAAGAGATTGGCCGTTTCCGGTTCGCGAGGGGGCGTCGCGGCCGTCGCTTCTGCGGGTCCAGGTCCGTCCGTTTCGATCCCAGGCCGCTGTCATTGAGGGGAGGTCTACCAAAGGGAGGTTTGTCCACCGCCGATGGGAGTGGTCTCCTGAAGATCTGGGCCCCACGAGCTAGAGAGTGAAGCAACCTGCCCAGAGCGGCCTCGAGAGATCCCAGCGCCTGGGCGCGGAGCGCCCCTGGGGGGCGCCGCCATATGGGCGGCGCGGGGCTGTTGAGACCGCCCCTCAGGGGCCACGCTGGGGGGAAGAGCATCGACCCCGATCGCCCATTCATCGCCGATGCAGTGAACCCGCATATAGTAAGGATGGGCACCCTTGCCACGGTTACGCTTGCATCCTGTGCCCTTTCGGCCAAGGCCTGGCGACCTTCGCTGGCCAACCTCCGTCGAAAAACGTGAAGATGGGCCTCCATGGCCCTTGCATCCTTACCGCGCATCCCAATGATACGGGTTGATTGTGGCGGCCCGATGGCCCACCCCGCCCAGGAGCGTGCGGATGTGCTGTCGGGGGCCCATCGCCAGTCTATCGGCGGCACAGCGCCGAATCCAGAGAAAGAGGAGGAGGTGGAGGAGGAGGAGGAGGAGGAGGAGAAGGAGGAGGAGGAGGGAGGAGGAGGAGTGAGGAGGAGGAGAGAGAGGAGGAGGGAGAGGAGGAGGAGGAGGAGGAGGAGGAGGAGGAGGAGGAGGAGGGGAGGAGGAGGAGGAGGTGCTCGGTACTCCCCCCTCCGAGCTGGTGCCCCCCCCAGCGCTGCCCCCTCCGCAGGAGGGCCGGCGGCGGGAGGCGGAGGACCTGTACCGCGCCGCCTTGGCGGGCGCGGAGCGAGGGCTGACTGGGGCCCTTAAGCTCTCGGCCCCTCCTCCTCCTCCTCCTCCTCCTCCTCCTCCTCCCTCCCTCCTCCTCCCTCCTCCTCCTCCTCTCCTCCTCCTCCTCCTCCTCCTCTCCTCCCCCCCTCCTCCTCCTCCCCCTCTCCCCTCCTCCTCCCTCCCTCCCCCTCCCCCTCCCCTCCTCCTCCTCCTCCCCCTCCTCCTCCTCCTCCTCCTCCTCCTCCTCCTCCTCCTCCTCCCCCTCCTCCTCCTCCGGAAGGAACAGGGCCGTCTTCACCGACACTGGCTCGTGAGCTGCCCGAGGGAGGTCGCGCGTCGGCGCCCTCGTTTCCAACGTGGCGTGCCGCGCTGACGGCGCGCGTGCGCCACCGCATAAGACGCAGGACCCGCTGTGCCATCTCGCGAGTGATGTCGCTGACGCCACCGCGAGTGAGGTCGCTGTGCCATCTCGCGCAAGACCCGCTTCTCTTTGTCGCTCAGATCTGGTCAGAGTAGATGGTGTCGGAGGATCGCGCCGCATCGCCGATACATCGACGATGCGGCTCGGTGTGCAGCCCGATCTTTTCCACGCGGACGTCGCCGCTGCATCGCCGACGTCGCCGATGCATCGGCGATTCGGCGAGATCCTCCGACCCCCATCAACTCCCACCCCATCTGGGAGGCCTCCGCAAACGATGCTTCGCGTGTTTTTTTCGTATGTTCCCCAACCAGTGCTTGCACTGAAGGGGTCCTGGCAGAGATTGAAAGATTCGTTGAGAGCTTCCAGCCGATCTCGGTGGGTGGCCCTGTTCTTATGTCGGGCGTGTCACCCTACAGGGGGATTTTCGACGACAAATAAAAGATACCCCAAAAATACCCCCACAAAGGTAACCAAGATACTAAAACAATAGTTCCTAGACTATTGTTGGACTATTCTTTGATTACTTTGGGGGTATGTTTTACTGTTCGTCGAGAATCCCCCTGTAAGGGGGACACGCCCGACTCACCCCTGCTCCCGCCTTCACGGTTCCGAGTTCTCCCCGGTTCCCGGCTGCCGGCTCCGGCCGAGCTCGGTGGGCGTTGGGGCTCCCATAGGGTTCGGAGGTGGACAGCCAGGCCTCCCACCCGGACACGTCTTGGCATCGCTCGGACGTGTGCAATTTTTCTTCGGCGAGGACCATCTAGGAGCATCCTTGATGATTTGGCGAAAAAACCACGCACGAAACCGAAAACTTAGCCTGGCGAAGGACCCAACAATATGCAGCTGCGAGTATCGCACGGATATGAGACGAAGGAGGGGGCACGCAAACTAGGCCCCTCTTCTCATAGGCACCGCGCCACTGGGGCCTTCGGTGGAGCTCCCTATTGGGCCACGAAACGTGTGGAGGGGTGTGCCGAAATGGGTGGTGGGGAGGCATGCGAACGCAGCCACTGGGGCCTTCGGTGGAGCTCCCTATTGGGCCACGAAACGTGTGAGGGGTGTGCCGAAATGGGTGGTGGGGAGGCATGCGAACGCAGCCACTGGGGCCTTCGGTGGAGCTCCCTATGGGGCCACGAAACGTGTGAGGGGTGTGCCGAAATGGGTGGTGGGGAGCCACTGGGGCCTTCGGTGGAGCTCCCTATGGGGCCACGAAACGTATGAGGGGTGTGCCGAAATGGGTGGTGGGGACGCATGCGAACGCAACCACTGGGGCCCCTTCGGTGGAGCTCCCTATGGGGCCACGAAACGTGTGAGGGGTGGGCCGAAATGGGCGAGGGGCGGCATGCCAACTCTGCCACTGGGGCCTTCGGTGGAGCTCATTATGGGGCCACGAAACGTGTCAAGGGTGTGTCGACATGGGTGGCGCGGACGCATGCGAACCCTGCCACTGGGGCCGTCGGTGGAACTCCCAATGGGGCCACGAAACGTGTGAGGGGTGTGCAAAAGTGGGTGGGGGCGGCATGCGAACCCTGCCACGGGGGCCTTCGGTAGAGCACCCTATGGGGCCACGAAATGCGTGAGGGGTGTGCCAAAGTGGGGTGGGGGCGGCATGCGAACCCTGCCACTGGGGCCGTCGGTGGAGCTCCCTATGGGGCCACGAAACGTGTGAGGGGTGTGCCAAAGTGAGATGGGGGCGGCATGCGAACCCTGCCACTGGGGCCTTCGGTGGAGCTCCCTATGAGGCCACGAAACGTGTGAGGGGTGTGCCAAAGTGGGGCGGGGGCGGCATGCGAACCCTGCCACTGGGGCCTTCGGTGGAGCTACCTATGGGGCCACGAAACGCGTGAGGGGTGTGCCAAAGTGAGGTGGGGGCGGCATGCGAACCCTGCCACTGGGGCCTTCGGTGGAGCTACCTATGGGGCCACGAAATGCGTGAGGGGTGTGCCAAAGTGGGGTGGGGGCGGCATGCGAACCCTGCCACTGGGGCCGTCGGTGGAGCTCCCTGTGGGGCCACGAAACGTGTGAGGGGTGTGCCAAAGTGAGGTGGGGGCGGCATGCGAACCCTGCCACTGGGGCCTTCGGTGGAGCTACCTATGGGGCCACGAAACGTGTGAGGGGTGTGCCAAAGTGGGGTGGGGGCGGCATGCGAACCCTGCCACTGGGGCCTTCGGTGGAGCTACCTAAGGGGCCACGAAACGTGTGAGGGGTGTGCCAAAGTGGGGTGGGGGCGGCATGCGAACCCTGCCACTGGGGCCTTCGGTGGTGCTCCCTTTGGGGCCACGAAACGTGTGAGGGGTGTGCGGAAATGGGAACTAATGGCGATGGCGATGATGATGATGATGATGACGATGATGATGCTGGTGGTGATGACGATGATGATGCTGGTGGTGATGATGACAGGATGGTTGGGAACTAATGGCGATGGCGATGATGATGACGATGATGATGCTGGTGGTGATGATGACGAGATGATGATGATGATGATGATGATGATGATGATGATGATGATGATGATGAAGATGATGGATGATGATGATGATGACGATGAGTATGATGACGGCGATGGGAGGAGGGAGGAGGGGGGAGAGGAGGAGGAGGAGAGGAGAGGAGAGGAGAGGAGACGCGGGGCGCTGTCTCTTCAAAACGAGGACCCAACACCACAGGATGGTTGGGAAAAACACAGGGAATGAACGTCCAAGCGATGGCGAGACGTCGATTTAAGAAATTGGTCGTTCTCGGTTCGCGAGGGGGCGTCGCGGCCGTCGTTTCTGCGGGTCCAGGTCCGTCGGTTTCGGCCCTAATTAGGTCCTTTTCCCTGAGGGGAGGCTTACTAAAGCGAGGGTTGTCCGCCGCCGAAGGGTTCAAGTTTCTGGTTCCTAGGTTACCGAGGGCTGGGTCGATCTCATTATCGATCTCGTTGTCGATTTTGCCGTCTATATCTTTTTCGATCGATCTCGTTATCGAGCCCATTATCGATCTCTCACTGTCCATGTCCCTCAGTCGTTCTCGCTATCGATAACACTGTTGATCTCCCTATGGATCTCACGGTCGATCTCACTATCGATCTTAGCATCGATCTCACGATCGATCTCACCATCGATCTCACTATGGGTCTCACTATCGATGTCAATGTCGATGTTACTATCCATCTCTCTCTCTCTCTCTATCTCACTTTCGATTTTACAATCGATTGCACACTCGAACGCACCATCGATCTCACGGTCGACCTCACAATCGATTTCATGATCGATCCCATTATCGATCTCAGTATCGATCTCACGGTCGATCTCATTATCGATGCCACCCAAGGGATTTCATTATCGGTATCACTATTGATCTCCTTGTTTGTCTCACAGGCGATCTCATTATCTCTGCCACTCAATCGATCTCAGACTTAGTCTCACTATCGAACACACGATTTATCTTACGATCTATCTCACTATCGATCTCACTCGGTCGATATCGTTATCGATCCCACTATCGATCGCGATCTCGATCCCACTGTCGATCTCGCAATCTAACTCACTTAGTTGACCTCACAACCAATTTCGCGATGGATCTCACGATCGATCTCACTGTCGATATCTCTTTCGATGTCACTGTACATCTCACATTCGAACTCACTTAATTGACCTCACAGCCAATTTCACGATCGATATCACTATCGATATCATTAGCGATCTCACTCAATAGATCTCACAATCGATCTGACTAGCGATCTCATGATCGACCTCACCATCGCTAGCACAACACAGCATTGCATACATAATAGCACGGACCCCCCCGCGCAACGGGAAACCCAGGTGCCACGGGACAGCACGGGAGAGAGAGAGAGAGAGAGAGAAAGAGAAAGAGAGAGAGAGAGAGAGTCCCAGAGAGAGAGAGAGAGAATGAGAGACGCATAGAAACAAATGAGTGAGAGGAACATATCATACGTAGACTGGACAACAGCGTACGTTCGAACTCGACTAGGGTTGGAGGCAGGCCGCTCGAGGCACCTGCGAAACATTCAGAAGTCCACTGGCTGGGGCTTTCTCTGGTGTGGCTTTTTTTGTTGGGGGGGGGGGCGGACGCCCTCGTGGGCTCAGAGGTCTTCTCGCCTCGGGATGCTCTCCGGCAGCCGCGCCTCGCCGCGGGCGCTCCGGGAGTGCCCCGCTCGGCCCGACGGGCCGCCGGAGGCGCGAGGCGCGAGCCACGCGGCCCGGGAGCCCAGGCGTGCGGAGGAGGGGCCAGTGTCGGGCGAGCGGCCCCCAGGGAGACTCCGTCTCCTGGGGGCCACGGCGTGAGCAGGTCCACGACGTCGGGGGCCTGGGGACGGGGCCGTGGCGTGCAGAGCAAGCCGCATCTGGGCGCGAGATGCGTGCCACTGTCGTCGGGGCCCGGAGGCCCTCGCCGCGCCCCAGGACCAGCAAGAAGCGACGCAGGATGCAGAGCCGGTCCAGGGGAGAGGGTCGGGATTTCCGGGGACGCCGTGCTGGAAGAATCAGGACGTGGCATGTTTGGTCGGAGGTTGATAGACCTCCTGCCCTGACACGTCGATTAGCGAACTGGCCGTTTTCAGTTCGCGGGAGGGCGTCGCGGCCATCATGTTTGCAGGTCCAGGTCCGTCGGTGTCGGTCTGAGGCCGTTTTTTCATTAAAGGGGAGGTTTGCTATAAGGGAGGTTTGTCCGCCGCCAATAAGAGGGGCTGACCTATGGGGGTGAAGCAGAAAAGGGCCCTGAAAGGGCACTTTCGGGCCCCTTTTTGGAGCCAGCAGGGGCCTAACAGGGGCCCTGAAGGGCCACCATGGATTTTCCCGTCGGATGCACAACACATGCGTGCAGCGTTCGTAGGTTCAAGAGCATTCTAGGCATGTTGTCGTGGATGCGACGAGCAGCTCCATTTCTGTAGTCGACCCCCAACTCGAACCATACTGTTCTGGGGGTCCCGAAGGCTGGGCGCCGCCCACCCGGTGGCGCTGACCCTGCTACACAACTTGGCCGTGCTGGTGCTCGGCATCGTCTAACCTTAGAACGCCCAGGGTTCGCCAGGGACTGGTTTCTCGGAAGAGGAAAGGTACCGATACCTCCCCCTCGCCCGTTTCCCCATTTCTGGGCCTCCTCGAAGGCCCTCGCCGCCACCGCCGGATTCGCTTCGAAATTCGAGTCAGAATGCACCTTGGGAGAGGTCCTGTGAGTATTATTTTATCGGTACTTTTTGGTTTCCCCAGCTTTCCCTCCAAGACGACGGAAACCCTTGCAAACCCCTTCGGAAACCCTCCGAGAAGCCTCCCCGGAATCCTTCCCCTGAGGGTTTTCGGATACTTCCTCGGGAGGGTCTCGGCCGCTTCATGAGAGGAAGCCAGTCCCTGGCGGACCCTGGACTTTCGAAGTCTAACCCAAGTATCTCCATCCCCGCTGGGCCATGGCCTCTCTTACCAGCCTGGAACATCCCTATCCCTATGCTGGTTATCTCCTCATCACGATGCCAATATTAGGGATTCCCTTATTTTTTAAGGACGCATCCCTAAGATTGTCATCGCCTTTTGGCGTGTCAATCTTAGGGATAAGGATAAGTTCGAGGCTGGTAAATCTCGGCCCCACCAGCCCAACCGCCTGATCTGGGGATCTGAGGGCGGGCCCCGCGAGGCCCGAAGGAACAGGCATGCAGACCAGTTCGATGAGCCGGTCGTCGCTGCCAACGTAAGGGCACCCCTGGGTCCTGTGCGTCGCGTCTTGTGCCCTATCGCGTGCCCTCTTCCTTCAAAGTCGACTGTCTCCTTAAGTCGGGCACGTCCCTCAACGGGAGGAATCTTCAATAATGATTAACAAGATAGTCTGGTGACGATGTTTCGTGTTCCTATGATTTTGCTTGATTCTTGTCTTGCTACTATCAATTGTTCTTTCAAAATCCGCCTGTACGAGGACAAGCCCGACCTAACTGTACTGTATCCATCCCCGCTGGGCCATGGTAGCGCAGTCCCACCCGGCCCAGCCTGGTAGGAGGACTGGCCCCGCGAGGCCCGGAGGAGCAGGCACAGGTGGGTACACAGTCGTTCGGCAGCAAATCATGGGAGCCTGGCGAGCCCTCTTGTGGGGGGTTGCTAAAGGTGTCCCTCGCCCAAGGTACCCCCAGCTTTCCGCTTCAGGTTGGAGCACCTGGGGCCCTCGGCGGCGAGCGAGGGGGGGGAAGTCAGAAGTTGAAGGCCTTCTCAGAAGGCGGCGGGACTTCTCCCTCGCCCCTTCTGAGAGGTTTTCTGTGTCTTCGGGGAAGGCTTGGAAAACTTTTCAGAAGGCCTGGGGACTTCTCCTTCTCCCCCCCTGGGCTCGGTGGTAGCGGAGGCGCATACAGGTACTTTCTGCTAGCAAATCACGGGAGCCTGGCATACCCTCTCAATTCCATCTTTAGCGTCGATGGGCGTCGATTAGCGTCTGACAGTCGACGAGGTAGCGCCGATGATCTAGCGTCGATACGCGTCGATTTAGCGCCAACCAGCGTCGATCGTCGAGGCTCCCATGAATTGCCACCGAACAGTCGGCCAGTGGGGCCAAGGCCACCCACGGGGGGGTGGCGATCGGTAAGGAGGAGGAGGAGGAGGAGGAGGAGGAGGAGGAGGAGGAGGAGGAGGAGGACTCCTCCTCGATGCTCAGGTGCGCCGGGCCGAGGGGCGCGAGCAGGACTGGTAATGCTTCGGGCGGTGCGCAGGCAGCCCCCCAGTCCCCAGGTGGTCCCAGCTGGCCTCAACAGGCCTCCCGAGCCCAGACCCCCGCGCGTTGTGGACGAAGCGCGACGGGAGGTTTTTCGCCATTTGCGGGCTCCAGGGCCCCTCCAGGCCTCGCGGGACCGTCAAACAACCGCTCAGGACGAACAAAGACAGTTCTCGGCAAGATGTCCAAACTTCTGAGGGTCGCGTCATGAAACAATCACGACGTCGGGGGTCTAGTCTAGGAGTATAGCCTCAGCTGGCCTCAACAGGCCCCCCCGAGTAGTCCAGGGCGGTCTCGACACCCTGTGGCTCCCCCTCCGGCGACGCCTCTGGAGCTCTCCGCGCCCCAGGGTTGAGGCGTTGAGACCGCCTTGGGCTACTCGGGTGGCCTGTCGAGGCCAGCCGGGACTGCTCGGGGGGCCTGGTGAGGCCAGCGGGGACAACTCTGCGGGGGCGGGTTGTGCGTGTAGCCCGACGCTTTACGCACCAAGCAGGAGGCCGTGGAGCTGTACCAGATGACCGTGGAGTGCAGCGAGCTGGTCCTCGGGCCCGACGATGCCCGCACCCTGGCATCGCGTGCGGCCCTCGCCGGGCTCCTGCAGGCGCTCGGGCGCGCGGAAGAGGCGGAGCAGTGCTGGCTGCGAGTGGTGGCGGGGCGTGAGGTCACGCTGGGCCCTGGGCACCCCGCGACCGCGAGGGCGTCCCGGGAGCTGGCCGCCATGCTGCAGGAGTCGGGTGCGGCCAAGAGGAGGGTGATGACTAGGGTCAATAAGTCGGGCCTGCTCCTCTACAGGGGAAGTATTCAAGAATAGCTTAAACATAGTACGGGGACTATTTTTGAGCATCTTGGGGTATTGTTTCAGTATTTTTTTTTTTCGTCCAGAATCCGCCTGTAGGGGGACATGTCCGACCTAAGACTAGGGGGTGGATATCATGGCGAGGGCCATGATATCTCTCCTGATTTCATGGCGCCTCTTCTTATTTCAATGCGTCCCTGGTCCCCCCCTGGGACGGGCACATGCCGCCGGCCATGATCCAAGGGAGGAAAAACCACCCGGACCAGACAATTGGCGTTTACTAAACGGCCCGGGGCGTTTACTAAAAGCTCTGCCCTGTTGGATTCCTCCCTTGGGTCCGTTTACTAAGCGGCTTCGCGTGTCGGGGTGGTTATTCAGGGGGGGATTTTCCGCCCTCTGTTGATTTGCGCCCCCCCCCTGGACGCCCCCCCCCTGGGACGCCCCCGAAGGAGCGTGGGGACTTCGGCGCGGCAGAGGCCGCGCTGCAGGCGGCCCTGAGCGCGAGCGAGGCGGCCTCGGGGCCCAGCCACCCCGCCACGCTGGCCTGCCTCGACGCGCTGGCGCGGCTGCTGCGGGCGGCGGGCAGGTACCAGAAGGCCGCGTCGGTGGCCCGGTGTGCCCTCGAGGCGCGGGAGTCGTCGCGCGCGACACGCTGTCCACCTCCTGCTCCTGCTCCTCCTCCTCCTCCCCCTCCTCCTCCTCCATTTCCTCCTTCTCCTGCTCCTCCTCGTCATCCTCCCCCTCCTCCTCCTCCTCCTCCTCCTCCTCCTCCTCCTCCTCCTCCTCCTCCACCTCCTCCTCCTCCTCCTCCTCCTCCTCCTCCTCCCTCCTCCTCCTCCTCCTCCTCCTCCTCCTCCTCCTCCTCCTCCTCCTCCTCCCCCTCGCGACATCGTGGCAAGGGTGTTCCGGTGCGCCCTCGAGGCGCGGGAGTCGTCGCACCTGCCGGACTCCCACCCCGACGTCGCGCGCTCCCTGGGCGCCCTCGCGGCTCTGCTCGGCCTGCTGGGCAAGGGCGACGAGGCGGAGGCGCTCGCCCGGCGGGCTCTGCGCGGGCGCGAGGCCGCCCACGGCGAGGACCACGCGGAGGCGCTGGACGCGGCCGAGGCCCTGGCAGACCTGCTGGCCAGCAGCGGCAAGTACGAGGAGGCGGTGGCGCTGGCCAGGCGCGCGCTGCGGGGCCGCAGGGAGGCGCTCGGGGACGCCCACCCTGGCACCCTGGGGCCGCTGGGCCGGCTCGCGGGCTTCCTCCTCGCGTGCGGCAACCACGCCGCGGCCGAGCCCCTCGTCCAGCAGGCCCTGGCGCGCCACGAGGCTGCGCCCGGCCAGTCCAGCCCGGCCCTTCTGGCCGCGGCGGCCAGCCTCGCGGGTGCCCTGCTGCAGGCGGGGAGGCTCCAGCAGGCGGAGCCGCTCGCCCGCAGGGCCCTGCGCGACCGCGAGGCCGCGCAGGGCCCGGACCACCCCGACACCCTGGGCTCCTGCGAGCAGGTCGCGGCGGTGGCGCTGGCCCGCGGCGCCGCCGCCGAGGCGGAGGAGCTGCAGCGCCGCGCCCTCGCGGGACGGGAGGCGGCCCTGGGGCCCTCGCACCCGGCCGCGCTCGCCGCCGCGGCCGCGCTGGCGGGGCTGCTGGAGGCGCGCGGGCGGCCGGAGGAGGCGCTGCCGCTGCGGCGGCGGGCCCTGGAGGGCCACGAGGCGCTGCTCGGCCCGGGGCACCCGCAGGCGCTGGGCGCGCGCCGGGCGGCGGCGGCGCTGCTGGAGCGGCTGGGCCGCGGCCGGGAGAGCGAGCGCCTGCTCGGGGAGGCGCTGCGGAGCGCGCAGGCCGCGCTGGGGGCGGAGCACCCGCTGGCGCTGGCGCTGCTGCTCGACCTGGCGAGGCTCGGGGGTGGAGGAGGCATTGCTGGGCCTCCCAGCTGGGGTCGGAGCAGATGGGGTCGGAGGATCGCGCCGCATCGCCGATGCATCGGCGATGCATCGGCGATGCGGCTCGAGGTTGGGCCCAATTTTCTCCACGCCGACCTCGCGGATGTATCGCCGACGTCGCCAGTGCATGGCCGATGTATCGCCGATGCATCGGCGATGCATCGACGATGCGGCGAGATCCTTCGACCCCATCCCATCTACTCGGACCCCATCAAGGAGGCTTCTAGCGGCATACAGTCGACTACACGTACAGTGGAGACCCATGCCAAGAAACACCTTGTTTGCCTCCAGGGTGCTCTGGGGTTCCCTGGGTTTCGATTGTTTTGCCATGGAAAGCGTGGCGTTCCACACCACACATTGATGGACGTCCTGGGGTCTCAGGGTTGGGTTTGTTGTGGAAGGTTTCTTGTGGACACTGGCCTCCACTGTAAGAGCAACCTTTCGCCAGAGTGGCTTTTGATGCGGGCCCAGCGGGGTCCCCCGATCGCTGAGCGCGATTGCGATGGTGGCGGCTTGCGCGCTTGTGTTTGGTCCCCCGCGGCCCCCACAAGCCGCGCACCCAAGGTCACTCTTTACACAGGGTCACACTTGCGTGTAGCCGATGCAGTCAACCTAGGATCACGATGAGGATGAGCGGTTCTCAAAGGCTACCCTTGAGTCTTTCCCCTGCAGTTGCCGCTTTCGCTGGCAGCCCTGGAAAGGCACTTGCGAAGTGCCTGGCCGCACCCCGCTCGCAAGGCGTCGGCATGGCCTTCGGAGGCCCTTGCATCCTCATCGTGCGTCCTGATCACGTGTGCGTGTCAACTGCAACGACGCCTCTGCTCTTCCTGGGCACCTCCCGTTGCCACGGCCGGACCCTCTCCTCGAGGTCCTGGCCAGAGCGCGCCCGGGGAGAGACTTCTGGCACCGGCGGTATCGGTGCCTCGGATGGCCCCAGATGGTGCGGTGACCACACCGTGCACGAAGCCAGTGGTTCATGGGCCAACCTTCCACCACCGCTATCATGCGCAGGACGGGGAAGAAGGGAGGACGGGGAGATCCTCCTCCTCCTCCTGCCCCTCCTCCTCCTCCTCCTCCTCCTCCTCCTCCTCTCCTCCTCCTCCTCGTCCTCCTCGTCCCCCTCCTCCTCCACCTCCTCCTCCACCTCCTCCTCCTCCTCCACCTCCTCCTCCACCTCCTCCTCCTCCTCCTCCTCCTCCTCCTCCCTCTCCCACCTCTGGCAGGGGTGGTGGAAGCTCGGCCCGTCAGTGGGGACTCGGGGTGACCACGCGGTCCTGGGACCGCGGCCGCCCTCCGAGGCCGCCCGTCGGGCGGCGGGGCCCCCTCCGGGGTGCCACCCTGGCCGCGCGGTGGCGGGGCCGCGCCGGGAGGCACGGTCTGTCACCAAACAGGCGACCCCTCAGAGATTCTCAGGTGTGTTCCCCGGGACCGGCTCTTCATCCCGAGTCGTTTTTGTTTGACGGTGCCGGGGATTTGGCGAGAGTCGGAGAAGACATGGCACAAGCAGTCGAAGACGACATACACTGTATAAACATAATTATTGTCTGGCGCTCCGCGCGGATTTCTTGGATCTGAGCTGGTGCCCCCTGGCGGCGCCTCCTGCTGCGCCCCTGGCGCGCTCCGCGCGCCAGGGAGGGGCGTCCAGCGCAGGTCCAAGAAACCCGCGCGGAGAGCCACAAATTTCTGTTTACAGTGGAGACCTATGCCAAGAAACACCCTGCTTGCCTCCAGGGTGCCCTGGGTTTCTTGGGTTTCGATTTTTTTGCTGTGGAAGGCGTGATGCCCCCACACCAAAAATTGATGGACGTCCTGGGATCTCAGGTTTGGGTTTCTTCTGGAAGGTTTCTTGCGGTCGGGCCCCTACTGCATGCCGTTCTCTCTTCTTCTAGAGAGGTTGCTCGCCGACCGCGGCAAGTACAGGAACGCGGAGGCCTTCGCGCGCTGCTCGCTGAGCGCGCGCGAGGCTCGAGGGAAGAAACACGGGGACCATGGCCAATGTGGTGAGCGTTTCTTATTAATTCTTTTGCCGATCGGCGCGGGCCCTCGCACCCCCCCCCTCCCCCCCCGTGGGGTAGATCTTGGCTGTTCTTGGCGCCTGTTGCGAGCAGATGGAGTCTCCCTTATGGGACGAACGGTTCCAAACAGTCGCACTGAGCAGAGGTCCGGAGCCAGACCCCCCCCCGTCCCTCCCCCTTCCGCCAAAAACGTTCACATCTCGCGGGAACTCGTCCGTGCCGGTCTTGGTCAGGGTCCGTGTCGACAGTTTCCGACCTGCGAGGATGATGCACGGCGCGACGCCGACCAAGATCGGCGGCGGCCAAGATCGATACGACGTGTTCGCGCTCCGTCGTCCCACCTCCGTCACCCGTCGTCCGTTCCACGTCCTCCGTCGCCCGTCGCCCGTCGTCGTCGTCGTCCGTCGTCCGTCGTCTGTCGTCCGTCGTCCGCTGTCGTCCGTCGTCCGTGTTCGTCGTCGTCGTCGTCGTCGTCGTCGTCGTCGTCGTCGTCGTCGTCGTCGTCCGCCTTCACGCGCTGCTCGCCGAGCGCGCGCGAGGCGGCCCTGGGCGGCGCCGACGCCGCCGTGGCCGAGGCCGCCGCCGCCCTGGGCGCCGTGCTGCTGGCCGCGGGCCGCGCGCGCGAGGCGGAGGCGCTGGCCCGGCACCCCGGGCAGCGCGAAGGAATTGGGCGTCGCGTCGGGCATATCCCTTCTCGGGGGCGGCAAAGAGGGTGGTGATGACTAGGGGGGGGGGGGGATGCCATGGCGGGGGCCATGATGTTTCCCCAGATCTCAGGGCGCCCCTTCTTGTTTTATGGCGTCCCTGGCCCCCCCGCTGGGCCGCGCACATGCCGCCGGTCATGATTTGCACCCCCCCCTCTTGGACATCCCCCTCTTGGCCGCTCCCGAGTCGGGCAGATCCCTTCCCAGGAGGATATGTCCAAGAATCGCAGACAAGTATCGAGTCGGGGACGATTTCGCGATCCCTGTGCGATCATTTCTGACCATTTCTGCCTAGGTTTATTGGGCTGGCCTCCGGCCAGTGCCGCCGATCTGGGTGGGCTCCGGAAGTGGAGTTTTCTATACCCCCCTGTCCCCGGGTACCGAAAAACGTCGGAAACGACGTCGGAAATATCCCCGTGTACCAGGAAACGTTGGAGATGACGTCGGAAATCACGTGCCCCCCCCTGCAGACCGAAGCTTGAGCGAGCTCAAGTCCACCCTCTCAGAAACTCACACGCCGGATCGGCGGATTTTTTCTTCCAAAATCCGCCTGTAGGAGGACATGCCCGACCTAACGATAGTCGGCGGCGGGCCCCCGGGTGGAGGTGACGGGGTCTGGGCCTCCCAGGTGGGGTCCAGGTAGATGGGGCCGGAGGATCGCTTCGCATCGCCGATGCGGCTCGATGCGTAGCCGAGTTTTCTCCACGCGGACGGCGTCGATGCACCGCCGACGTCGCCGATGCATCGCCGACACGTCGGCGATGTATCGCCGATGCATCGGCGATGCGGCGCGATCCTCCGATCCCACCTACTCGGACCACATCTAGGAGGCCTCTATTTCAGAAGCGACAGTGAGCCTGGGGCGTAAGTGAGAGGGGGCGGGCCTTCTCAGAAGGCTTGGAAGTCCGCCGGCCTTGGAGAGGTTTTCCACGGCATTCCCGATGACCTCTCAGAAGGCCAGAGGGCTTCTGAGAAGTCCCGCCGCCTTCTGAGAAGGCCTTCTCTTTCTCACTTCCTCCCCTCGCTCGCGGCCGAGATAGATGGGGCAGCAAGGGTTGCAGAAAAGGGGCCCTACAGGGCTCCTGAAGGGGCCTTTTAAGTCCAAAGGGGGCTCTTAGGGCCCGAGACAAGTGCACCTTCCCTCCCGCCATCTATCGCCCCCCCATTACAGTGGAAGACCATGCCAAGAAACACCCTGCTTGCCTCCAGGGTGCCTTGGGTTTCTTCGCTTGCGATGGTTTTGCGATGGAAAGCGTAACGTACGTACCCACACCAGAAATAATTTGACGTCCTGAGGTCTCAGGGCTGGGTTTCTTGTGGAAGGTCTCTTGAGGTCGAGCCCCTGCTGTGAGCGACGCTCAAAAAGAAGCGCAACCGCAGCCGATGATCCTTGAACCGTACGTTGCTCGGGCCGGACGAAAGGGGGGGATTGGGAAAGGGGGGGATACAACATTTGCTGCATGCAGCTGGTTTCGGCCCCGCCGCCGGGCCCACTCCTCGATACATGGGCGCCTCCCGTCGCCGGGAGGCGCCAGGAAAATCAGCTACGTGAGCTGATTCTCAAACCTCTCCTTTGCTATCTCCCCCTTTCGCCCGACCCGCACGTTGCGCAGCCCGAGCGTGCGTGTTGCCCCGCTGGGCCGCAGCGCCCGCGTCGTGCGGAGGGGCCTCGGCAGACGAGCACACGCTGGCGCCAATCACGCAGCTCTGGGAGGGCCTCCGTTCGGGGAGTGCCCTGGCAGGCGATGGGCGGCGCCGGGAGGGCAGGGCGACGCGGCGACGGGGACGACGGGATGGATGACAGGGGCGACGTGGGCACGGGGTGTTGGGAGCGCGGGGCGCTGGGCCGACACAGTCAACCCGCATGGTCCTGGCATCGCTCGGACATGTGCTTTTTTTCCTCGGCGAGAACCATCGAGGACCACCCTGAACCATCGAGCAACAAAAAACACGCACGAAACCGATAAATGCACGGGAAGTGAACATCCGAGCGATGGCGAGTGGTAAGGATTGGGCAACCTTCCCAGGGGTGCCCCTGCGTCCCCGGCCGCTTTCGCGGGCCGCGCCCCGCGCGGGAAACTTCGAAAAGCGGCCTTCCCGGGGCCTGGCAGCCTTATGCCGCATCCTTCTGAGACGGGTGGACGACAGGGCGATTAGAGAGAATCAGTTCTCGCCCTCCTGGAGGCTGCGGTTTTTCCCCCGAGTCTCCCCCTCCCCCTGCCTCCTCCCTCTCTGCTGTGTCCTCCTGTGCCACTGGGCTTCGCTAGACGGTAAAAAAGAGTGCACAGGGTGTTCGGAGCGCAGGGCGGATGGGGCGACAGGACCATGGGACGATAGGACGGTAGGCCGAGGGGCCGATGCAGTGGAGACCCATGCCAAGAAACGCCCCGCTTGCCTCCAGGGTGCCCTGGGTCTCTTCGGTTCCGATGGTTCTGCTGTGAAAAGCGTGGCGCTCCCACAACCGAATCAACGGACGTCCTGGGGTCTCGGGGTTGGGTTCCTCGTGGGCGGTAGGACGAGAGGACGATGGGGCGATGAGACATCAGGACGATAGAACGCCCGGACGACGGGTCGACGGGGCCCCTCCGGGGGGAGAGCCCATCGACCTCGGCCCGAACCCTCTGGGTGTCGGTTTTGCCGATTTGGCAGTCTGCGACGCCCACGTCGACCGCAGCCAGTCAGGGCGCGAGCCGAGCGGCGTCCTGGCGATTTCGTGGACCGTTTTCTTTCAGATTTCGTTTCGCAGCGAAGGCAGAACGAAGACAGAGCGGAGGAGAAAGAACGCAGCACGAACACGGAAAACACTGTTTATTTCGAGCCCTGGAAGCAGTATTAAGCTGGTCCCGATGTTCTGACGATTGCTGGCATGCGCAAGCCAGGGTCCGGGAACCGTCAGACTCGAGTTCGCCGCAATTCAATTTTTGCGGTGCTTTTCGACAGGCCCGTCCTGGATTTTGACGGTCCAGTTTTGCTGGGACCTTTGCAGCAGGAGTTCTCGCCAAATTTCAGATTTGGTCTCGTCGTTTTTCTGACGGTCCCGTCAGGCCAGTTCGAGTCGTCCAAGTTCGGGCTTCTTTTCCCTCCAAAGGGTGTGTCCTCGGTGGCGGCCGCCGTGCGCTGCTGTCGACCCCACGCGCTCGCCGGGGCGCGCTGCTTGGTCTCCCTGGTCCTCCTCCTCTTCCTCCTCCGGCTCCTCCGCGCTCTTGTGACCACCGGTCCCCGCCGCTGGGTTCGCTACTTTTTTGGACACATTACCTGTATGTGTATACATGGTATGTATGTATGCATGTATGTATGCATGTACGTGTGCATGTACGCATGTATGTACGTATGCGTGTATGTATGCATGTATGTATGTATGTATGCATGCATGCATGCATGCATGCATGCATGCATGCATGCATGCATGCATGTATGTATGTATGTATGTATGTATGTATGTATGTATACAAAAGCTGTCCTCGACGTGGTTGTCGTCGCCTGCTGCCCGGCCCCAGGCGCGCGCTCGAGGCGCTCGAGCGCGCCCTGGGCGCGGGGCACCCCGACGCCCTCGGCGCCCTGCGGCAGCTCTGCGAGGTGCTGCACGCCGCGGGCAGGCCCCCCCTGGGGCAGCACGAGCTCGGGCCCGTCCCCCTACAGGAGGACAATTCAAAAACAGTTATAAAATATAGTCTGGGGACCATTGCTTTTTGATGTTTGTTGTAGTTCTTTTGTTCTCGTTCATAAATAGACAAACATTCAGAGCGTGAATTACCTACCCCGCTTTCGCTTCCAGGCGAAACCAAGCCATACCACGCGCCTCCTCGTCAAGCGGCCTGACCAGCGCAGGCCGTAGTTTGGCATCGCTTAGTATCTCTTGGAAGCGATGGTGGTCAAAATCGAGGTAGGTTTGTTTCCCCCTAAACATATTCAAACATAGACAGACCTGATCATTATTTGATCTTTGTCGTAGTTTTTGTTTGCCACGTTTTTGTTATTGTTCGTCCAGCATCCCCCCCGCAGGAGGACAGGCCCGGCCTCGGGGCAGCAGGAGGGGCCGCTGGCGCCCTCTCGGTGCCTCCCCCCGTCCCCCCCCAGCTGCTCCCGCCCGTGCTCCTCCTCTCTCCTCCCTCCTCCTCCTCCTCCTCCTCCTCCCTCCTCCTCCTCCTCCTCCTCCTCCTCCTCCTCCTCCTCCTCCTCCTCCTCCTCCTCCTCCTCCTCCTCCTCCTCCTCCTCCTCCTCCTCCTCTCCTCCTCCTCCTCCTCCTCCTCCTCCTCCTCCTCCCTCCTCCTCCTCCTCCTCCTCCTCCTCCTCCTCCTCCTGCCCTCCTCCCTCCCCCGTCCTCCCCTGTGCTCCTCCTCCCTCCTCTTCCCTCCTCCCTCCTCCTCCCTCCTCCTCCTCCGCCCCAGCTGCTCCCCCCTCCTCCTGCCGCTCCCTCGCAGGCGGGAGAGGTGCCCGTTCCGCTAATTATTGTTGAGTCGGGCCTGTCCCTCTACAGGGGGAATATCCAAAACATAGTCCAAAAAGAATAGCCTGGGGGCTGTGTTTGTTTAGTATTTTTGTTCATCCTGGAGCATTGTTTGAGCATCTCTCACTTTCTCGTCGCAAATCCCCCTGCAGGTGGTCTCCCCGTTTTGGGTCTCCTGGGAGGCCCTCGTCGCAACCTCTGGATTCGCCTCGGAATCCTGGTCAGAACGCACCCGCCCGGGGAGTAGGGGTATCGGTGCCTTTTGGTTGTCCCTTTCCTCCTCGTCCTCCTCTTCCTCCTCCTCCTCCTGAGCACTGGGCACTGCGGACCTGTCTGCATCTCTGCTGTACTCCTCCTCCTCCTCCTCCTCCTCCTCCTCCTCCTCCTCCTCCTCCTCCTCTTCCTCCTAGGACGAGGATGATTCCGTTCTAGAGCTTTTTGTGAC